TAGCACGTTAGCACACCTGTTATTTATTATACTGTTACCTTAACTCTAAAGTATGCTATCCGTGTTAATTATAGAGATGGTCGATAATCGATTACCAGTAAAGTGTTTAATTTAGTTTTACGTTTTTACACGTTTTACGTGTTAATACTTTATTGGACCTCAATATTTAGTGTAATATGTGTAATAATAATAACATGTAATAAAATTGACCTTCGTGTGAAAATAACGGCGTCGTCTGCGTCATCTAATTTTCGAAAGTTTTCATTTGTAAAAGACTTTAATAGTCCGTAAAGAACATTTATAACGACGCAAATAATACATGCGTATATTATACAATAATAATACAAGTAGGATGACTAACCGAGTATAAAAAATTATTATGAGTAAGTTGTCGAAAACTCCATTGCACAATTATTAATGTATAGATAGAATTATTTAAAAGTTGAAATTGTAATAGATGTACAGTAAAAATGACGTTTATATTTTGTGACATGATATTTGAACTTTTTTTTATATTTCATTATTTTACATAGTACCTAATATTACTTTAGTCCTCATCATTATTTATAGTTGGATGAAGAATTATAAGTCCAGCAGGGTAGGCCAAGTCTTACTATAATATTATTGTCTCCGCTATTTTTAGCCTTTTAGGTTATTATGTTGTTCTGGTCAAAAATATTTTTAGCTCATATGTTATGTTTTAAAATATTTTTTTATGAAGTTATGCTTTTTTTTCAATTCAAAAACCGGGAAMGAGTGCCGAGTGGGAACTGTTTATCCCAATACTGCCACCCATTCCCGTATCGTTTATTCGCCAATATTTATATATAAGTTATACAAAGGTGGGATTAAGTTATACCTACAACCTACAATCTACAAAATGCAACAGTAAGTGTGCATCAGTATTATACTTCGCAATTGAACAAATTGGTACAAAATCTTAAMTCTATAAATCGATATTAATTCATTAAATAGGTACAAGRTTCCTATAATATGATCACATCATTATATATACCTAATWCGAATTATGAAATACTGACTATAATTAAAAGATTAAAGGCAGGCGACGGCGCTAATAGAGTTAGTTGTTGCAGTTCTTTCTGCAGAGCTTAAGAGTACGTAACAGTGGAATTTGTTGTCTCCGTCTTACCAGTGCGTAATAATAATAGCAAATTTACGCTCAGCAAAACACTTATAGCTCCTTTAGTTTAAAAATTACAGTGAATCGACCTATTATGAAACTTTATGGTAAGAACATTTTCTGTGATTGTACGTTGGTTTTTTACGATAATTCAATTTTTAAGTGAGTTATGAGCATTTTTAATGTACTGTCATTATATACTCATAACTCACTTAAAAATTGAATTATCGTAAAAAACCAACGTACAAACACAGAAAATGTTCTTACCATAAAGTTTCATAATAGGTCGATTCACTGTAATTTTTAAACTAAAGGAGCTACAAGACGTGTTCTGTGCTGAGCGTAAATTTGCTATATTACGCACTGGTAAGAAGAAGACAACAAATATACCACTGTTACGTACTCTTAAGAATTAAGACATTAGCTGCGCACTACACTATTTAACTTGTTCATTACTCTTTACTCATTATCACAATAGGTACCTTTACTTATTTTAATGTTAAAATAATATTATATATAATATATATATACATATATATTGATGCATAATAATATTATAATATGTTATAATAATAGTGATAAACTTACAACTATTAACTAGGTATATTTAGAAAAGAAAACATGTCATTAATAATTTATAATTTACAACAATATAGAACGTATTATACTATAAGTATTTAATAAGTACCTAGGTACAATATGAGACTACAACCAACTTATAGAAAACACCTATACGGCTATATCTACCTTTATAATGTGTAAATAACTTATACATTTTATTATTGTAACTACCTACCTATTAATACACGGATTATACCAGGCGCGTATGGCCAGTCAGAATTATTTAAATTATTGTATAAATAAACACGGATGTTTACGTATCTAATATATTTTTGGATTAAACGGTGGAACATAGAGGGTGTTTAAACAAACCCCCCCCCCTAGCTACTCATGTGACATATGCTGCATTTACCTACCTACTAATATTACTGTTCAACAGTTTACTGTTTTTTACACAATTTTATAAAAATCGGTATTCTTTTATAAATTATATATTATATATTTATGAGTTATTATTACTGCAATTATTATAAGTATATACAGTGATCAGTCATACTGCAGATTATAGATACGTAGGCTACTTAGGATAAACCTATTATCTACCTAAACGTATTTTAGCATTTGTATATATATATATAAATTACCTAGTAAACCAATTTATGTATACTTAAACTGGAGTAGATACTATAAAAACTTATCAGAACTATTAAGCCAGTTAACTACTAAGTCCTAATAATAGTTTGGAAACGGTGATCTATAGTCTATGTAGGTATACTGATACTATTTTAACACAGAACACTTGTATGCAGTGTTGAATCCATGTATACTACAGGGGGGGGCGAATGCCCCCCTTGACAAATACAACTTTTTGACTTTTAACAAAATGTACCTATTTATTAAATGCACAATACCAATTTAAAAATAAATAATTAATAGGTTTCTAATTTATTTTGTAATTTTTTCAATATTTATAATTTCTGAATTGTAATAAATTATAATAATACAATTTATAATATGTGGTGACCTTAGATTAACCTTAGATTGATTTAAAAATTTGAAAATTAATAATTTTTTTTATAACTTTTTAAATATTAAGAATTTT